AGGAATTTATGCCAGTTTCTATTGGGCCTTCAGCCCTAGCATCCCACCTACTCTGCTCTTTACATGAAGAGAAATATCGACTTTTTAAAATTTTGGTTCAATTGGCTTTCAATCTTCTTAGTTTAAAGGTTTTTTTTTAAATTATTTTATTTTGCTTTTTTTCTTTATTTCTTTCTTTTTTATGGAAACAGAGTCTCACTTTGTGGCCCTCAGTAGAGTACTGTGGAATCATAGCTCACAGCAACCTCCACCAATCCTTGGATTTAAGTGATTCTCTAGCCTCAGCTTCCCAAGTAGCGGGGACTACAGGCACTTGCCAGAATGCCCACCTATTTTTTGGAGATGAGGTCTGACTCTGGCTCATACTGATCTCAAACCTCTGAACTCAGGGCAATCCACCTGCCTCGGCCTCCCAGAGTGCTAGGATTACAAGCGTGAGCCACCACACCCGGCCAGAAATATTGATCTTTATGTTGCTGAATCCAATTATAGTTTCTTGGGCTTCGTCCTACTTAACTAAAAGCAGAATTTGACACAACTGATCACTCCTTTTCCATGAAGCACTTTTTTTCACTTGCTTTTCACACTGTTCAGAGTTGGTTTCCTCCCATCTCACTGCAAGCTCCTTCTCAGTTCTTGCTGGAGCCTTTTTTTCTCTCCAGCTCTCAAGAGTGTCTCTGACTTGGTCCTTCATTCTCTTCTGCCTTGAGGGTCTCATCCCCTGAACTCCAGACTTGTCTACCCAACTGCCTATTTGACATCTCTCAGATGGCTAATTGAAATCTTTTTTTTTTTGAGACAGAGCCTCAAGCTGTTCCCCTGGGTAGAGTGCTGTAGCATCACAGCTCACAGCAACCTCCAACTCCTGGGCTCAAGCAAGTCTCCTCCCTCAGCCTTCCAAATAGCTGGGACCACAGGCACCCGCCACAACACCTGGCTATTTTTTGGTTGCATCCATCATTGTTGTTTGGCAGGTCCGGGCTAGATTCGAACCCGCCACCTCAGGTGTATGTGGCTGGCGCCTTAGCCACTTGAGCCACAGGTGCAGAGCCTGAAATCTTAAACAAACTGATCAAAAGCTGAACTCCTGGTGATTTGCCCATCTCTGCTCCCCAAATTGCTTCCTCTGCAGCCTTGCTCTTTTTAGCTGATGAAACCTCCATCTTTTCGGGCCAAGAACCTTGAAGTCTTGTCTCTGTTTCTCCCTGTACATCCAATCCTTCAGGAAATCATGTTCAGTCAACCTCCAAATATATACAGTCTCTAACCATTTTCCACCACCTCCATTTACACCAATCTAGCTGAACCACCATCTTCTCTTGTCTGTATTACAACAAAGTCTCCTAAAAGATCCATTTCTTCTATGCTTGCTCCCTGAACAGTATTCAGAATTCTCAGCACAAGAGTCTCAAGTGACTCTTTTAAAAATATCCACAATATGTAAAGAATACGTACAACTCAACAACAAAAAATGATAACCCAATTTAAAATTGTGCAAAGGACTAGGCATTTCTCTAAAGAAGATGTACAAAAAAAATTAAAAATAAAAAGAAGATATACAAATAGTGGCCAAGAAGCATATGAAAAGAGGCTCTATATTCCCAGTCACTACGGAAATGCAGATCAAAGCCACAATTAGATACCATTTCATAAACACTAGGACAAACTTTTTTTTTTTGAGATAGAGTCTAACTATGTCACCCTTGGTAGAGTGCTGTGGAGTCATAGCTTACAGCAACCTCAAACTCCTGGGCTTAAGTGATTCGCTTGCCTCAGCCTCCCAGGTAGCTGGGACTACAGGCACCCGCCACAACATCCAGCTATTTTTTGTTGTGGATGCAGTTGTCATTGTTGTTTAGCAGGTCCAGGCTGGGTTTGAGCCCGCCAGCCCAGGTGTATGTGGCCAGTGCCCTAACCACTGAGCTATGGGTGCTGAGCCTAACAAACATATTTTGAAAATAAAATGTGGCTGGGTGTGGTAGCTCACAACAGTAATCCCAGAACTTTGGGAAGCCGAGGCAAGAGCATCACTTTAGGCCAGGAGTTGGAGACCAGCCTGGGCAACATAGCAAGAACCCACCTCTTTAAATTTCTTTTTAAAAATTAGCCAGGTGTTGGGGTGCATGCCCATAGTCCTAGCTACTCAGAGGCTGATGTGAGAGGAAACCTTGAGCCCAGGAATTTGAGGCTGCAGTGAACTATGATCACACTATTATACTCCAGCCTATGTGACAGAGCAAGACCCTGTCTCAAAAAAAGAAAAAGAATTACACACGTGCACACACACACACACGTGTGTTGATAAGAATATAGAGAAGTTGAAAATCTCATACATTTTTGGTGGGAATATAAAATGCTGCAGCCATTGTGAAAAAAGAGTTTGGTGGTTCTTTAAAAAGTTAAATGTGGAATTACCATTTGACCCAGAGGTTTCATTCCCAGGTAAAAACATAAGAGAACTAAAAACAAGTATTCCAATAACTATTTGTATACAAATGTTCATCTACAGCACTATTCATAACAGGCAAAAGCAGAAATAACCCAAATGTCCATCAACAGATGAATGGATAAGCCAACCTGGCATATTTATACAAGGGAATATTATTCAGCCCTGAAAAGAAGAAAGTACTGACACATGCTGCAGTGGGGATGCACCTCAAAAACATCGTGCTAAATAGAAGCAGCCAGAGTCAAAAGACCACGTATGGTATGTAGGATTCCATTTATATGAAATATTCAGAATAGGTAAATCCAGGAAGACAGAAAGCAAATTGGTGGTTTCCAGGGAGGAGGGGAAGGGGGCGTGGGGAGTGACTGCTTAGTGGGTATGGGGGTTATACTTGTGTGGTGGTAACAATGCTTTGGAACCAGACAGAAGCAGTGGTTGCCCAGCATTGTGAATGTACCAAATGCCCCTCAATTGTTCACTTTTAAATGGTTAATTTTAAATTATATGGATTTATCCCACACACAAAAAGTCATTTTCCTCCTTTGTTCAATGCCTTGCAATGGCTCCCCAAACTCAGAGTAAAAGACAAAGTCCCCAGAAGGCCTCTCTTGCCCCGCAGGTTGTCTCCCCTTATCTCTCCTCTCCTATTCCCTGGACGTGCCAGACCTGCTCCTGCTACCAGGCATTTGCTCTGGCGGTTTCCTTTGCCTGGAACGCTCTTCCCACAGATACCTCCTCAGCTCCTCTGTGTCCTTGCTCCAATCTCACTCTCTTACTGAACCCTCTGTCAAACACCCTGCAAAATACTGCCGCTCTGCCTGCCACCCTGGGATTCTTCATTTGCTTTTTCTCCTTTCTGTCCACAGTGCTTGTCACCTACAAATAGACTATCATAGTGATTTATTGTGTGTCTGTTTCCCCACTGCTGGAACACAGATTCCGTGGGAACAGAGATGTTTGTTTTGTTTGTTGATAAAGCTCCTAAAATAGTGCCTGGCACATAGTAGGTGCTGGATAAATGTTTATTAAAGTGTGAGGATTAAATGTGACATGGCAAGCCGTATGCTTACAACAGTGCTTGGCTCATAGAAAATACTCAATAAATGTAGCTAAGGAGACCCTACCTCCATCCTCACTGGGCCCAGCCCCTTCCTATTCTATCTCTGAAGCAGTCTCTTTGACTGACAGCAGATCTCATCTAATAATTTTTTAATTTCTTAGTCTTCCACTAGAGTCCACTCATCTTCCTGGTTGCACCTTGACGTGGCTCTCATTCAGAGGCCCAGGTTAGGCTGAGTCCATCTGCTCCGGGCCATTACAGCCCTCTATAGCAGCGATTTTCAACCAGTGTACCAGAGGATCTTAGGTGTGCTATGAAAAATTTAAAAGATCATTAATTAAATTATTTTTGAAAGCAGTTCAAAGCACAATAGGTACTTTTACTCTTTTTTTTTTAAATCGACATAATTTAAGTGTGCCACAGAAGTTTAACCACAGGTTCAAAGTGTTCTGAGAGATTAAAAAAGGTTGAAAAATACTGCTCTATAGTTTCAATACTGCAACACTCTAGACTTCACTGTAATAACAATCTAACCCTCTATCTTCCCTCAAAGTAGAAGCTCCATGAAGGCAGATCAGGGACCCACTGGACTTGCTCACTTATGTCTCCCAGCTCAGTGCCTGGCCTGCAGAGACATGAAAAAGTAAAAGAACATGTTTTCCAACCAGATTTCCATGGTAGAGATCTCTGAACTGGTGACATATTCTGAGACCAACCCTTTGAAGATGCTTTGATTATCCCCATCTTTCAGAGATTCAAATTGAAAATCAGAGCAGGTATGTGTCTTGCCCATGGAGACTCAGTAGCTGTGCTGGCCCCATGGCCAAAGCTGAATCTTTCCCAAAGGCAGGATTTCTGAGGGGGCAGAGAATGGATGGAACCCTTTACTGCAGCTTCACCTTCTCCAGGAAGTCCACACAAATCCCCAGGGACAATAATTCGCAGTATCTCTGGATTCCCAAAGATTCTACCTTTTTTTCATGTTCTAGCATTTTCTCCATAGCCCTGGTCTCCTTGCCTGCCTTCCCACGCACTCCCCAGAGCCAAGCATGAATAAGAGGACTTCTGGAGTCTCCTGGTGCAAGTTGGAATCTGGGGTCCACAACCTGGTGGCTGTGTGACCTTGGTCAAGGAACTGGCCTTCTCTGGATTCTCTTTCCTCTGGAAAAGTGGATAAACGCCACCAACCAGACAGGGCTGTCGAACCATGTAATCTGATCAGGCAGATAAAGTGGTCAAACTCTAGCAAGCCTAAATTTTTTGTTTCCCTACAAACCTTGGGTGAGTAGGAATTTGGGGGAATGTGTTCCAGCTCTGGGAGTCAGAAGCCCTGACCTCTAGCCCTGAGTGGCTGGGTGACCTTGGCCAACTCCCCTTACTCTCTCTAGGTCCCGGGTCTGAGAACTGACACGGTTTTCCTGGCGGGCCCCTCGGGTTGATGACATCTAAAATTCCAAGAGCTAAGGAACTTAAGGGTGGGAGCTTGGGGTGGGGGTTGGGGGGAGGCAAGCGAGCCGGATTGGCCCCTGCGCGCCACGTGTCCGACCCAGAGCCGCCGGCTGTCCTCCGGCCCGCCCCTGCGCTGCGGCTGCTGCTCGGCTAACGGGCTCCGACCCAGCAAGCTCCGCGTCCCCCAGTCCGTCCACTGCAAGAGGTCTCCGCCGTGCGGTGAGTGGGTTGATCCCGGAGAAGGGAATCGCCCCAGAGGGGCCCCACCTACGGGCTGCAGGGACAAGGGGACGGGCAGTAAGTGTTCAGTCACCGGCTGATCGACGCCCCCTGCCAGGAGCGGGAACCAGAGGGCACGGTAACCTGAGAGTGTCGCGGCTGGGTGTGTCTAGGGGAGCGCAGTGGAGCAAGTCTAGGGCCCAGGCGGAGGAGCGCAGGAGGAGGGCGCCCTGGAGGGGGAGGGGAGCGGAGAGGAACCCTGGCTCTGCAGAGGGTGGTGTCGAGGGCTGGGGGCGCCAGGCTGCGGACCCTGCCGGCCTTAACTAGAGGGGGTTGAAGAGACTAAGAAAGCCCGAGGTTGGGGGCCGCTGGACGCGAGTCTCCGGGCTCGCACGGAAGGGTGTGGCTGAGCGCAAAGATTGAAGAGTCCGAACCTCCAGCTGGATGTGAAACGATTTATGTGTGGTGCTGTAGGGCGGGCTTTCTGTTGGCAGCCAGGTGAGGGACCAGCAGTCCATATCTGAGGACCCATGGACCTGGTTCCTTTTGTGCTACTGCTTGCATATGAAGGAGTCTCCCACCTGGGTTCCCAGGACTCTTTATGCTTCCCCTAAGCACAGGCCTTCCCAAAGCTTGGGATCTTCAGATAACTCCCCAGATACTAGCATATAGAAGTGAAATACCCTCACTCCAAGTCTTAGCAACACCAACAATTTACAGTGTGACCTTGAGCCAGTGGCTTTCCCTCTCTGAGCCTTGATTTCCTTCTCCACCTCCAGAGCTGATAGAGGAAACAATAGCTGTGAAAATGGATTTTTTTGTCAGCTGGGAAATGATTACAGGTTTGAGAATCTTGATTATAAGTCTTGAAACCCTGGCCCAACCCTTGTAGACTCTACAAGGGGAAAGGGAAGGAGGTCCTTGAGGAGGACTAGTCTGGCCACTGCATCCTCCCTCCCTCTCCTTTTCTCTAAACTCTGGTGGGTCTTTTCTGACAATTCCAAATTTGGACATATGGCTCTCAGATTTGTGAAAGGGCTGGTTTCCCTCAAGAGTCTGCTCTTTTTCCTCTAATATTCTCTTGATCAAAACACACCTAAAATTGCTGGCCCCACTGACCCAAACAGGATATCCCACCTGCTTAGCCCTTCGAGGTGTGGTGAATAATCGCCCGCCCAGGTTTCAGCCCTGTGGACCCTGACCTTCTAGCTGGCAGGCCCTGAGCCATGCAGAGGGCACTGGCCTGGGGGTTAGTGGGAAGCTAGGGTGCAGTGAAGGTGTAATGAGAGTTCTTGAGCAAGCTCTTTCTTCTCTGGGCCTTTGTTGCCCGCCTGTAGCAAAGTCTGCTAAACTGGCTGGCACTTCCGGTGCGGGTGTTCTATGATTCCACTGCTGTTCTAAGATTTAGGATTCTGGGAGTTGGGTGGGGCTGGGTAGGGCGGGAGGCAGAGGCTTTCATCCCCCTCTGCAGCTGTGACAGTCACTCATCCATTTTTCTTTGCCTTCTACCCTTTGTTCCCAAGGGTACCTCTGCTGGGATACAGAAAATATTGTTGGCTTCTACATAAGGGCCACAGCTGTTGCCGGGCAGAATTGGATATGAGTGTGCAGTCAAGAGGGCTACCCAGAGAAACCTGGGGCCTGACTTTGTGGGGCTGATTTCCTGAGATGAGGTGGGGGAGACTGCAGTGCAGGGTAGCTGCCAAGGTCTAGAACATCTGCAGTGCAGCATCCAAGGAGAGCCCTGGGCCACCAGGCTCCAGCCCCAGTTCCAGCCTCCGCCCCGCCCTAACCAGCTAGGTGCCCTGGGCACACCTATTACCCCTCTGGGCCTTAGTTTCTTTCTCTCCAATTGAAGAAGACATGTGCTCAGGGCAGCCCACTGGTAAGATGGGTTGATCTGGATGGCTCTTCTAGGACTTTCTGGAGAGGCCCAGTGAAGTCACCAGCCTCTCCAAGATACTTCCTGGGAGGGGACAAAGCACAGGATGTGGTCTCTACTGTGATTCCTGAGCGTGCATGCCCCCACCACCACCAATAGAGGAGAGGAAGGAGGGGGTGATCTTTTCATTTATAATCTTTGCTTGGACTCCAACTACATCCCCTTTCCTCTTGGGACTAAGAAGCCCCTACAAAGATTGACTATGGAGAAATGACTGTCCACGGGCTCCTTGAGCCTCAAATTCCCCCATCTGTACAAGGAGGATGAGACCGGTATCTTCATGAGGTGATGAGGCAGATGTGAAAGTGCCTTGTAAACTGTAGAGTGTGATTAACAGAGAAGGAAGTGCTGCTGTTGTAATCTCAGAAGGGTGTGGTGCTTGAGAAGGCAGGTGATCTGAGCCTTGGGTTCCTCTTGGGTAAAATGAGTACCTTAGTGCTCCTTAAAGAATGA